CATTGCTATCTCAGAAAAATTCGCGAATGCCTTTGATTCCTATGAGAATGAATACAGAGGGGAATTTAATTTTTAGCTTTATCCTTTCGCAGAATAGTTTTTTTCATTGGTAATTAGTCGAGTTTCATGCCGATTTCTTTTTTTTTTTCACTTTTTGCAGAATAAATGCGATGACTGTGGTGCTACATGTGAAAGACCGGACAACTGCTACACGCCAGAATGTGCGAAGGATGCAGCATTGCATGGAAAACGCCTGGATTACATTATGTATAAAAGTGGCCGAAGTAATCATCGTAAATTTGTATTTTTGTGGAAAATCTACAGCCCTCAGTCCTATTCCTCGTGCTGCGGTGTTGAAATAATAATAATAAAAACGCTAATGGTAGTAATAATTAATAACAATAATAATAATAGTGATAATAATAATAAATTACGGACGTAAGAAGACGAAATCATAATGTTAAAACAACTGGATAGTGCAAAAAAATCAAAATATGAAATGGCCGGAGTTAAACAGTTAAAGCGAAGGTTGGGATAATTTTGTTAAAAATTGGAAAAATTGCCAGACACATAGTTAAATTAAAACTGTTCCAAGCAATCGAAAATGGATATATTTCTTTTTTTTTTTTTTAACTGATCACATCTGTGCGCTTAGGAAAGGCGAAGCTAGTGCATTGTGCGGTGCGAATGAATCAAATTCCGGGCGAAAAACCGATCAACTACAGCGATCATATTGGTGTATATGCGGAATTTTCCATATCCGATCAGCACCACCCAGTATTCTTTTGTTTTAATATGCTTTTATTTAATTTATGTGAGTGGGGTATTTGGGAGAGGGAGGGGAAGCGTTGAGGCAGGGACGGGGGGGACGGGGGGGACGGGGGGAGGGGGCAAACAGGACAAGGGTCTTTAAACGAGGGAGAAGGGAGGGCAGAGGAGGAAAGAGAGAGGATTGTGAGGAAAATATGAAAGGGGAAGATGCTTAAAAAAGGTGAAATTCAATTAATTTTTAAAAGGTGAAATTCATTTTAATATTGATTTTTGATATTTTCACAAGTTTTTTTGACATTTTCACAAGTTTTTTTGATATTTTCACAATTTTTAAGATTTTTGATATTTTCATTTTTTTTTTGAAAAAAATCTCGATCAGAACTTGCGAGGGAGCACTCGAAAAGCAAGATTGGGTTTTGCATAAGAGCATGCGCATTAATTGGATATGATACAGTCCATGTGTAATGTTTGTTCATGAGCTGTTGAATTCGTTCATGTCATACATTGCTTAGAATCCTTTTTTTTAATCTCTTAATTGCGGTATTTTACCTTTTTTTCGTTTTTTCCCGTCCAGTTCGGCTCTGTTGTAAAATTTGGCGTGAAATTATTTATTTTTCGACTACATTACACCCCCTCCCCCCTCTAAAAAAAATCAGTTAAAAAAGAAATTTATCCAGTCGTGGTGAGCTAAGACGTATACTACAACTTAATGGACCAAACATCTTAACTCATCACGTATTTTTATATTCTTTCATACTTACTCGCTCCACGCCTTTTCTCCCTAAGCTCCTAGGATCTACTTATACGCTACAATCAGCTTATCTCAAGAACATTAGTGCAAAAATTTTTTGCAGCGTTCAAAGGAGCTCTCGTTACCACCACCCAATTTGCTAAAGCAATCAATGGAGATTTTGGAACAAGGAATTTCCCGGGTTCGTTGCGATCGTCGGCTTTTCCTCGGTATGACTGCTGTCTTCGTTGCACTGATTCTGTCGACGCTTTTTGTGGAACAATATCTCCCTAGCATCCGATATTTGGTACGTTTCGTTTTTCATCATCAATGCGGCGAATCTTACGATGCTAAGAATTTTTGAGCCAAGTATTTTCTGAGCCATTAATTATGCGTTTTGTGCTGTGTAACAGCAGTACAAAACGCATATTGTCATGGGGTTGTCTGTGTGTGTGTCCGCGGCAACTTGTCTGCAACTTTCAACTCAGGAACCACAAAAGCTAGGAAGCTGGAAATTTAGGGGAACGTCCCCTACCCACGTATGACCCCGCAAATTTAAATTCAGCTCCCCCGTACCCGCGTGTGACGCGTACGGCCCCGTGAAAGTTTTTTACGAGTAAGTTAATATCTCGGGAGTCACGGAGTCTAGGAGGCTGAAATTTTAGGGGAATGCCCACGCTCAACCTTGCCCATTCAAATTCAGCGTTCTCACGTTCTCGA